ACATACACACACACTCACATGTGCGCGCGCGCGTGCGCGCGCACGCACACACACACACACACACACACACACACACACACACACACATTAAAAACAACATGGAATCTATTTGTGTTGGCCAGCTACTCAAAAACATACAGTGTGCCCTGAGTATAGTTGATACACACAATGTTACCCTGTTGAAGAAAACATATGCCTCCTTTCCCAGCTGGGATAATTTTCAAATAACATCTTGGTTAGAGGTGGGACTTTATGTCTACTTTTGCTTCTTTGTGCTGGAATGTTGTCTGGCTGGGACTTGTGCAAGTCTTGTGCATGCTGTCACAATCTCTATGAGTTCCCAAATACATCTGCCCTCTTGTTTCTAGAAAGCACTCCATTCTGAGTAGGCTACCACCTTTGGCTCATACAATCTGTCTGCCTCTTCTTCCACATAGGCTTCTGAGGCCTTGAGGAGAAGGGTATGATAAGACATGAATTCTCCAAAGACCTTCACTTTCGACTAATTTTCCAATCATGGGTCTTTATGTTAGGTACAATCTACTTCAAGATGAAGCTTCTTTAATGAGGATATAGTTATGCACTGATCTATAGACATGGGAAGATGGCATTAGGAGTCATTTTATTGTTATGCTCACTTAATAGGAAAAAATATAGTATTTTTTTTCCCCTGGGGTCCATGACCTATCTATTCTCAGATTCATAGTCTCATTAACAGTGTTATTATGGATTCCATATGATGAAGTAGACCTTGAATCCAATGGGAAAATAGTTGTTTATTCACACAACATTTGTGCCTCTATTGTAACACAGGGCATAAATTGGATATGGTCACTATTATAGATTGTAGGAATCGTAACTGGATGAGATTGCTTATTATTTTTCTCACCTGGTAAGATTCATGGTGTCTTATAGCAAATAAATTCCTTTCAATGGGGGTCAAAGCTTCAACTTGACCACTAACTAGATCTCAACAAGTATGATGATATAAGTAAGGGGTATATTCAGAATAGGGGCTTACCATCAGAATTTGGAGGGTAACCAATAACATTGGCAGAAGACTATAATATTTGGGAGTACCTAAGCAACTTCTTTGGCCAATGACTCAAAAAGTGACAACCCATTCCTGGGAGTGGAGATTCTATTTGGTAGCACATGGTGTCTATTTGGGACATTCTCATTATGTGATAACTCTATACAGCAATAGATTTTCATATCACTTTAGAAAAGGCCTTTATTGTTTTCTCTTCTGCCCTTCCTTTCCACCCTCCATCCCCATTTAATCCTCCTATCCTAATATCCCCTTTATTCCTTTATAACAGTATACTCTATTCATTAGAAGAACCCTCACATAGCCTAATCTCTTACTAGATACTTAACATCTGTGGTTACTTTTAATGAAATATATATCCAAAGCTTTAAAGCTAATATACATTCATAAAAATAGAACATGTAGTGTTTACCTTTCTGTATGAGATTACTTCATTCATGATGGTTGTTTCTAGCTCCATCTATTTACATGAAAATCTCATAATTTCTTTTTACTTAGAAGCTAAATAATATTCTACATAAATGTCATATTTCCATTATCCATTCTTCAATTGATGGGCATCTAACGTGATTCCAGTCTCTAGCTATTTAAAATAGAGCAGTAATGAACAGTCTGCAGTAAGATGTAGCGTTCATTGGGATATCCCCAAAAGCTTATATAGATCTATTGTCAGCTTGTTAAGGAACCCCCACACTAATTTCCATAGTGGCTTTATGAATTTGTACTTTTACTAGCAGTAGATGAGCGTTCCCATTTCTCCCAACTATCACCAAGATTGACTATCAATCATTTTATTAATATTGACAATTCTATTTAATAACTTTAATAATGTTGAGATTTCTAATAATTCCCCGTTGTTTTCTTTCCTTGTTATTTGACACACAATCTACGGTAACTCAGGCCATCCTCAAATTTACCATGTAGCCAATGATGAACTTGAACTTTAGATCTTCTCACCTCTATATCCAAACTGTTATGCTTATGGATGTCCAATACCAGTAAGATGTCTAACAAATTGCCAGGCATCATTGTTTAGAAAAAAGGTATTAAAAAAAAACCAACATTATATACTTTGAATGATTTTTTTCCAATAGTATATGTTCATACGTCAAGGGGAAAAAACAATTTCAATGCTCTATGGGAGATCAAATATTTACATATACTGTAAAAATCCATACTAATTATTACTTGTGAACACATAATGGCACTTGCCCTGTGAAATGAGAAATTTTGATAAGCATGAGACAGAATGATTTTAATATAGTAAAAAAGGAACAGTTATGATTAATTATATTTTATATACTACAGCAACATATTTTCACATTAAAAGTGAGATTTATTCTGTTACTGACGAGGAAGCTGAGCTTTTGAATGGCTTAAGATTTTCGCCTGATGTCTAAAGCTAGAAAAGACAGAGCTGGGAATAATACCCATTTTTGTCCAATTTCAACATCCTTAAACCCATGTCTATGATTAATGGCTATGGATTTTACACTACAAGTATCAGTATGCAAGTGATTTTACATACTGCACTCTACAGAAAGCAGATACATATTCTATGACCACATCTCACTGGACTGGAAAGAAACACCGGGTGTTGGTTGCAATGTAGAACCCTATAAGAACAGAGTACATTTGTATAGAAGACATTCCAAAAATTAGGTATTAGTATGCTTAGAAGATACATTTTTTTTTCATCAGGAGGAGTGATTAGTATTTATTTATGTAGTTAAGCAAAAAAAAAAAAAAAGCAAGTTCTGGGTATATTATCTGATACCATGACCAAGGGTCACTTCTTAAACCATGACCGATATGCTTAACCTCTCTTCCTTTGAAGTCTACTCTTTTACTTTGTAAGTCAAATACTACATGACATTGGAAGTTCACCTTCTCCACCTTGACATTGCCTGATTAACTTGGATATATGACCCTAGACATTATGTCTTTCACAATGTTCATGGGTATAATAAAATACTTATGAGTAAAAGAAACAATAACATTTGTATCATTTTTTTACTACTTTTCCTTTGTTTACTTCAACTTTGAACAAATATTTATACTTACTGATTTTATAGTATTTTATTTGTGTGCTTGGGTTTAAGTATAGACACATACTCCCAAATATAATTTTTTGTCCTCTTTATCCTAATTTTAATAAAAATACATGAAACCAAACAATTACTTATAAGTCTTTGTATGATTTCATTAGTGCAAGTTAATTATTTTCATGTTCCAATTTTGGTATTGAGTCTCACAATGTTACCTTTCAGGTGATTTATGTGACCTTGATTAAATATGAATGTAGTATTTCTTTCATATCACATCAAGAAATTGGATCATATGAGTAACAGCTCAATATATATATTACATATATATACATATATATGCATATTTTTGAGTGACCATATGAACAACATTAAAAGAAAATATAACCTGTTATTTTTCTGCATTAAAATTCCTTACATAAATTTTCCAGCAATTTTCATGATAAAACTGTAAGGTTTAACATTCATATTCAAGTTGACTTTTTTGGGCCCAGTGGTTCAACAATAAGATATGATCACAGAAAATATGAATCTGATCATTTGCCAAACATGGCTTGAGCCTGGATCACCAACATTCCTGCTATAACTAAACAAGTCTGAGAAAACCCATAAATTATTGTGCAGTATGAATTTTAAGACGTAGCTAAAGAGCCATCATTGCTAAAGGACATTGATACAAAATAGTAAATCAATGAAAAGAAAAAGTAATACAGGTAATTCATGGGCACAATAAGGATGCTATAGAACACCTCTGGTTTCCTGTCTTTTGCACTTTCCACTGCAATCCAAAAATGGGTTCTACGTGTTATAATTTGAAACCCTGCCATTAGCTCCATCAGAAATATTAAATGTTAAAGCAATGCTTATTGAGCATTAAATGAATATCATTTGCTACTATAAGTTAGAAAATACTTTTATGTGATTAGTAGAAAAATTGCCAACATCACTATTTTCTTTCAGACATGTTAATGCACTACTGGAAAAAAGCATATATATTCTGACCTAATTAATACCCACGTCCCCCATGGATGTGAAGTATGTAGAGACATGCTCCTGAGTTTATTCAAATTTACATATACCTAGTATCCTAGTATGACATGTTAGAGGGTTCATAGCCATTAATATATGACCTACTTATCAGGTGTTTGTTGTCACACATGCCTATTATACCTATGCCACCTTGGGACAGTAAACGTATTTCTGTATGTAGTTAAGAGTGTGTTCCTGTATCTGGGTACTTGATCTCATCAAAGAGATGACCTTTGTGTTTTTTAAAAAGTGTTTTCTCTTCTCTTGATGCCTCCAGAGAGACAAAATATTCCTAAACCCCAGTGATTTCCCTGTAGAAATATAAGGATGATTTCATGCCCCTTACTAGACAAAGAAGTCTCATAAATTACAGTAGGAGCATTTCATTTGCACAGAGAACAGACTAAGGGCATTGACTTAAGTGGTTAAGTATTTTTTAATGGATTGTGTATATAGAAAATGTGATAGAAATTATATGGAAATGTAATTCAATTGTTATTTTTCTTCTCTATCAAGGAAAAAAATGAATCATTTCATATAGACCTAAATTTTGTTTCCCTAAGAGTCATTCACACAGATCTTCCTTGGTATATCTTAAAAATTAAAAAAAAATTACCTTATTTCTACCATAATAAAACCTGTTCTTTGGCCTACATCTGTACCTTTTAATTTGCAGTATTCTCACACCTACCAAAACACAAACAAAACCCCCAAACCTCAAACTAAGTAACTATTTGGCTACTATTAGCTCTTTAAATACATTTATTAAAGAACGATATGTTGAATATGCATACTCAACTTCTATTTGATTTACTGACATGCTAAAAACATTTGTTTATAAATAAATGCAACCTTTCTTCTGTTTTAATCTACAGGACAACATTTTTAAGCTGCAGGACTCACATTTTGAAAATGGTCGTGGGAAGAGTCCTTATGACCCCAAACTACTGACAGCCTCTCTTCTAATAGGTATGTAGCCAATGATCAACTACATAGCAAATCTATAACCAATTTCAAGATGGCCTATGTTACAAGCAGTTTTCCTGCCAGCCGTATCAGCCCCAAATAACACACAGAGATGCTATATTAGATGTAAAGCTTGTTACTAGTGTTTCTAGTTGGCTAGTTGTGTCTTAAATATTAATCCATTTTTATCAATCTAAGTATTTCCACATTGTCTTATCTTATGGGAGAGAGACCTCTTCCTCTCAAGTCTCTACATCTTTAATCCTCCTCTACTATATCTCCCTTGTCTCCTACTCCCACCTATCTTGCTTTCCTATTGGCCAACAGGGCTTTATTCATTAACCAATAAGAAAAACATATTTACAGAATGACATCTCCCATAGGGCCTATTCCTTTCACATGCCAAGATTTATAATTCTTATTCATACAATTTAAGGAGGAAAACATCTGCTGTGCTGTTCACAAATAATTTTTAAAGGAAATGAATGATATCACTAATAGTTGATTGTGATTTTTCTATTCAAATTGATTCATGTTCAAGGAGATAGTTTAATTATACCTTGAGAATAGTTGGCTCAATCATTATACATCCTTTGTTAAAGTTTAATTTTTGCTTTTGTACTTGTGATTTCATTTTCACTTGATGAAAAATAGCAAATAAAAATTTTGGCATATGATTAAGAAGGAATGGAATTCAGTATATCATGAGAATTGTACTTCAAGACACCTCTGTTTCTACATTAGGTCAACTTCTTAGGCATGATCAAGCCAAGTGGTGGTATTGTTGGCAGAGACACCCTTAGTGTATTTTCTTTGCCTCACTGGAGTATCTTGTCATATATGGTAGCCTAAGAAAAATATTATGCCATCATATTTTCTGGCTTTAGCATCTTCTTTGCTTAAACACTGGCATAATAGTTTGGGAGACTTGTTTTTTCCTTTATGCTCATCTCTTTTCTTTCTTTCTATTGTTCATTGTTGTTTATCTCTGCTGCAATGTGCAGAGGATTGGAGAATACTTACAGGGCAAAAAGAAAAAGTAGGGGTATAGAAGTAAAAATGTTAGCCTGTACTGAATGATGAAGCATTTTTGTCTTTTACCTATCAGAAACTGGGAATAATTAAACCAAAGCTAAAGGTATGGAATCGTGAATATGTTCTTATTTATTCCAAACTTCCTCCACTTCTTTGTATCCTTTCAATGTTTTTCATTCTTTGGGCCTTTTTTTTTATTTTATTTTTTTTTTTTGTTAAATGTACCAACAACCCTACACATACTATATTGCTATATGCTTTTTCCCCCATAAAATGGTGAAATTAAAAAAAAATAATGAAAATTTTCAGACATTCATATTTAGAATTTTTAAAGTAAATTGTTGCTTAGCTCATTTTGCGTAAGTGTAATAATGTTTTTCATTCCTTTTCGTGTAAAAATTCTTTTATACTCAAGAAAATTAAAGTCTAGTAATAGAGACAGCTGGATTAGCCACAGAGTTATATATCCATTGTTGTTCACTGTTTACTTTATCACTAATCTTTGCTCCATTTAGAGTAAAGCTTTGCAATATAAATTACCTCTTCAAGAGTTTTTCAATCTAGACTATTCTAGTCCATTTGATCCTTTTATGAAGCACTTTTTTAAAAGACTTTTTAAAATCTGAAGGAAAGCTGCATACTTAGCAAACGTATAATTTTCCTATTCATGGGTAACCTAGTGTTTACACGTGCGTGCCTTCCCCATGCATACATGCTGAAATTTGAAAGTTGTCTTAAATCATGAGGGTAAATCATACCTTGTTCTAACTTGTACCCTGTATTTATTTAAATTGCACACTAAAAATGAGAAATATTACTCAAAAAGCAGTCTGTAAAAGTGTGCCTAAAGCTCCACGAGTTTGTGGTATGTTCCTCAAAAGGGATTTGCTTATTTATTTTATTATTCCACTGAGAAAGGCTGATGACAGTCGGTATTACATAGCTCATATGGTATGCAACCACACAAAGTCCACTAAGGAAAAGAAACTCCAAAGTTTGGTTTTGTGTTAGGATTTCTTTGAAAAAGATGTATAGGTTGATGAAAAGGAGAAGAGAATGAATGAAGTTCAGCAAGAGGCTATGTGGCTGAGAAGGAACAGAGACCTTTCAGAAATACATGCTTTCCCTAAGAGTCCAGAACTAACATACCCACTACAGCAAAATGTGGCCGAAACTTCAGAGCAATGAAGTATGTATTAATTAGTTCTGAATCAGTTAAAACAACATGCAGAAATAACAACAGCTCATCCCAGATTTAGTTTTCTAAAAATCCCATAAAATATCCCCAATGACATTTTTAAATGTTTAAATATTTATTTATGTATTTAATGTGTTGGGGTTTGTCAGTGAACCAGCACCATAGTTGTGTATGGAGGTCAGAGGACAGTTTTAGGAGTTGCTTCTCTCCTTCTACTCTGAGAGTCCTAGGTATTGAACTCTGGTGGACAGACCAATGACAAGTGGCTTTATCCATGAGTCCATCATTAGAAACATCATTTTAATTCAAGAACTGTAACTTTCTTTGTTGTGGTTGTTTATTTTGGCATTATATTACAATTTTCTTTCTCACAGTACATAAAATCCTCTTTATTGGCTTTTTGAACATTTTCTTTTATTCTGTTTTAGCATGAATGTTCACTGGTTTTATGGGTCTTTTGAACATAAATACTTTTACATTAACTTAGAATATACAGTACTAACCACATTGGAAACACACAAGAGGTAATGTATATATAAGAAGATAGCCACATGGAAGTTTTACCTTCTCACATAACTCGAGGATTCCTCCTCATTTCAGCCCATAAAAGAGAAAGTCTAAGGCCACCCCCCTTCTCCAAATCTAGGTTTTAGTCAAAATATCTGTGAATTGATCTTAACAGACAGTATTTTCAATACTTAGTCATGCCAGTATGAAGCTATCCCAATCAGTAGAAAATGTTAAAAACGAACAGTTAAAAATTTTAGTTTACACAAACTGTGAAAGTTTAGTATAACCTCTTTGCAAAATGTCATGTGTTTTTAGATGTTTACTATAGACACCTAGATTGTTTTTCACCTTGCCCACTGCTTAGCTACAAGAAGTGCCCAAATCCAATACATCCTCTACATTTTCCAAGTCACCTTAGTGAAGTTAATTTGACAATCTTTTGAAATAATAAAAGTACTGCAGAATTTATTTTTAAAATATCTCTGAGTTCTTCTGCCTGAACATATTTTCAACTTTGTTTAAAATAGCCTTATTAAAGATAGCATTTGCTCCCCCTGCTCAGTATAAATACCAGGTGTGAACAGAGCACAGGAACAAAACCAAGTACTTTCCACACTAATTAAATAGTAACTCACATTTTCATGATAAGAAAGAATAACCAACTTGAGAGCAACTTTATTTTCTCCCTGAAATCTTTTCCAGGCGATGCAGCACTGATAATTTAGAAATATTCCATCGAGAAGGGATGTTACTGTGATCTATTCAAAGGTGTGAAGTTTTCACTCAGGTGTATATCTTCAAGCTGGAACTTTGCCTTGCTTCAGGAAAGAACATAATTTGATATTAAAAAAAAAAAACACTCTCAACGGGTATGAGAACAGGCAAGGTACTCCCTAAAATAATTAGATATAACTAAGGATGTGATTTGAACCTCTCTGAGCCTTAGTTCCCTGATATATAAAATAATATGGTATGCTAATTCTGCCAGCTTCTTTCAAGAGTTAAATAATGCAGTGCAATTGAGGGCTTCTAATGGAATGTATGTGCATTTCTAGTATTTATGTGGTGTAGGAAGTAACAGAAACTAATAATAATAGCTGTCTATGAGGAAGCTACGAATCACAGTTAGTACTTTATAAATTTTATGTTTTAAAATTTGTGCCATGTGACCCCATTAGTGCAGAAAAGCATCATCTTTAAAAGAACAATATATGCAACAAACCTGAATGCATGTGTTGCTATAGACAAGAGTGGTGGAAGCTTTCTGTGTCCTACCACTGCACAATGAGGCTGCTTCTTATTACCCACTACTCTGTGAGTAGAATTTACTTAAGGTGTTAACAACATAATAGCCTGGTCTTCACATTTGTTTGATATTTGCTCACGTTCATGTCACACCCCTCACCTGTGCCAGAAATGCTGCAATTTCATCAGGAAATTTATTTTTCCTTCTTCAGTTTCTCCTCACCACACCCTTCTTAGGAATTGTAATCCAAGACATTAGCTGATCTAAGCCACATTGTTCCTTCATTTTGAGCTGTGAACAGAAATTCTAGAGTGCATGTGAACTTTTGTTTTTAATACATGCCTCTCAGGGAACTCAGCCATGGTGGATGTGGAGGTCACAAAGCTGTTTTCATTCATCCCAGTAAATTATACTTTCTTTAGACACACTTTTAACGGTTACAGTTAAGACAGAATGGCTATGTACTCAAATAGTCATCTTTGTCTTTGGTGCATTCTAGAGAGTTTAGTTATATCTGTCAGCACTAAGTAATCATCATCTAAGTATTTTTTTTTAAGCCATCAACCTTGTTATATGCTATATCTCTATAGAGATGCTTTAAAATCTTGCTTTTAGACAGTGTCCACAACCTTGATTATGTTCCTGAACCATCAACTTAACAAATTTGGATACTTTTCAAATTGTCTTTAACAAGTGATTTATTGTAGATAGAGATCCTAAGAATGTGTATAAATAGTATTGCCACTCAAAGTATATATACACATACACTCAAACTATACGCACACACACACACACACACACACACACATCACCTCATGTTTTCAATAACATGTATCAAAAACTATACTATGTTAAAGAATTAACATTTACTTCATGACTTTGTAAGTGACCTAGAAATTAGAAAACTACTATTAGTAGAATTCTGTTGATACTGTTATACTTAACCTGTTTCATCAAAATAAGTCTGTCTAGCTACCTCACATTATGTAAAGTCAAAAGTACCTAGAAATTTTAGAAAACCACAAACTACAACACAACTTTAATGCTTCATGTAAATGTGCCAATGTATTAACTGGCACAGACAAAGGATTACTACTATATTTCTGACGAACAACTACAACAACCAAAAAAAGTAAGCATAGGACATTGGCTAGACTATTGGCCAAAATAAGAAAGAGGTTACATTTTCTGTGTAACCATCACACATGATAAGAATTCCCATATGAGAAACGGCTACTGACAATGAGCATTGACAAGAAAAGATCTTGTCCTATTATGCTTGATAATTATCTGATATTATCCAGCTCAAAAAACTAACTCTGGCTTGTGCAAAAAGTAGTATTTGGGTGAAAGGTGACTTCCCATGGCTGTGGGCAACTTGGTACCTAAGCTTCAGCCTCTCCTTTGTTCAAAAGTCAAATTTTAAATTTAATTATCTTCCCAGTAAAAAAAAAAAAAAATGAGCTCTTCTACTTTGTCCAAAACATTTCCCCATTTGTTGTGAAAAGGAAAGAAAGCCTCTCTTCCAGACTGCCCTGATGCTGATTTTTCATCCTTGCATAACAATGAACAAGAAAGTAATATAACCCAGATAATGTGTAAAAGAACCAAACACCTTCCTATAGCCAGAGAGCTTTGTTGTTGCCATCTTCTCAGTTCTCTTCTGAGTAGTTTATGTATAACAGCAGCAGTAATTCTGCATTTCATTTACTCTTAAGAGCTAGCTGGCAAAAAGAATGATCATGGCATTGTATTATTTACATATCTCATGTAGCTTCCTGTGGGGTGTGATTAACGGACTTTAAGTTGTGCAGATCGCCTGTTTGTAGTTATGTTTTCACCTGTCTTGATTTTCATCACATAATATGCTTCCTCAGCATCAAAGTTCAAAAAATTGCTTTATACTATGGAAATGTCAAGACAAAGAGAGCATGTCATCTCCTCTCAGGGCCGCTTCTAGAGGTTTCCCTACAACACAACTTGGGTTGTGAGTCTAGCTTTACCTGCTGAGCCTTCTCTCCCAACCTGTCACACGCAATTTTAACTGCCACTCTCTTGTTCTCACTGATGACAAAAATTATGTGATATGTATTTAACACTACCTTGGTAAAGTTTAAGATATTAATTTTAATAAAAACATTAAAAAGCTTAAATATAGATGAATTATAACATATCAATGAGCATTTAAATATTACAAAAGCCTTTGAAATGAATGAGTACTTTCTTCATAGTAGTGCTGGACTTTTGGCAGGCAAAAATATTATAGTACCACCATTTATGAGAAAAAGTTATGTTTGTACTTGGCATTTCATTAAGTAAAGAAAGAGCAAGATACATTGGAATTCCAAAGATACCATATGTAGAATGGTACCATTAGTTTAATTAGTAACCTGTAATAATTTTCTGTCTAACTAATTATTTGTTCACAGAAATCTAAAGCAAATAATCAGTTCTTATGTTCCTTTACCAAAAAGGATAGGCAGTTTAAAAGTGATTTTTGCTTTGCATAGTCTCCAATGTTCTAGAGACTTTTCAAAGTTCACGAAACCCTTCAGTAAGCTGGACATGGTGTTGCACACTTTTAATCCTAGCACTCTGGAGGCAGTGGAAGGCAGGCCTATGAATTGAAGGCTAGTCTACTTTGCAGAAGGAGTTCTAGGCCATCGAGGGTTTTATAGTGAAACCCTGTCTCAAAGAAACAAATCAACTAAACAACACACAAAACTTCAGAAAGGCAAAGTTCCACTGAAACAGTGGACTCAGGTTAGAGAATATCTAGTTTGTTATAAAGCTAATATGAGTGAACACTAAATATATAACTAAAAAATAATATGTAATAGATGTTATTAATGAAATATGCTAAGGTACTTATACCTGAAGACTACAGATAATTTTGCATTTATATACTATAGAAGTAAACGGGGAATGAGCGATCTACAAATATCTAACTTATTTTCTGTGCTCTCTTGGCTTTATGACTATTTTCTTTCTTAATTAATTTTATTAGAATTAAAAACAATCTTATTTTACACACAAACCAAGTCAATGATTAAGAGAACATTAACTCATTCTAATAATAAAAAAAAATTATGAATAGTATTAGCTTGTGTGTTATTTGTAGAAACATGTCTTATACCTTTCTTCACTTTGCTTTGCAAGTACAGCAATTAACTCTAAGCAGTTTAGTGAATATATATTATCTAGAAGAAAGAATCTGGGGTGATTTTTGTCTCAAAGACAGAAGACATAATTTTGCAAGCTTCATTTAATTGAAAGGTGGTATGCTTTAGCATAACAGTCTTAGAATTAAATAGGCCTGAATTAGAACCTTCACCCCAACTTCCCTAACTATTAAACTGTACAACCTTTGCCCTCCTGAATGTAAAACAGGGACAACATTATTTTTCTCTTAGGGATGTTGACAGAACTGAATGAGATCACTAGAAAGTGTCAAGGCAGAGCCTGGCTGCCTAACAAGCACAAAATGGCTTTCACTCTTAATGTAACTTCTCTTGCTTGTCCTTTTATTCCTGTCTGTGTTTTGTCTGTTTATCTCCTGGTAATAATACTTCCATTATTAAACTATGATTGAGGTTCCATACATTTTCAGGAGCAAAGCATTAAAATCAATAGGATAGAGAATTCAGTGGGTTCAAACTGTGTCTTCCAGGCTTGCTTATTCTTCAAAAATAGTTTGGTTAAAATCTGACGGCCTACTGTGGGTAGGTTTGGACTTTATAATACTTTATGCTGCTTTGAGACGTGTACTATACTGGAAGCTTTAAAAAAAATGAAAGAGTAAGTTTGGTATGTGTCTGGTTGGTTAAAGTAATAGCAGAGCAATATGAAACCAGATTTTGTTTTTTCAAGCACCCACATAAAAATGTGCCAAGGTTGCAAGGGCTGCCGGGAATCCAAACATAGGGTGGGCAGAGTCAGGAGACATAGCTTACTAAACTCTCTGGAGTTGGTATACTCCAGATTCAGCAAGACCCTGCCACAGGAAAAGCAGAATGGAGAGCAATGGGCAATGTCATCTAAGGTCAACTTCAGGCCTTCACACACTTCAACAGTGTGTATACACACACACACACACACAGACACACAGACACACACACACACCAATGCACATGTAAAAATTAAATTAAAAAAAAGTCAAGAACAATTTCAAGCAAGATATTACTTTTTATAATAAAATCTCATTCATCATATCCAACTGGAAAATAGTTCATGAAATGTTTAATTACCATTAAAATCAGTTATAAACATGATTTTATAGCTCATCCTGCAAAATAAAGTTATTTGAGCCATAAGAGGCTAACATGTGTAAAAGCAAACTATGTAATGAATACAGCATTTATTCTCACATGCTTTCGTTTCATTAGTGAGGAAAATAATAAAATTTCATGTTTAGCTGTGTTCACTGAATCAGATTTTATTCTGATTTTCCAACTTGTTATTGAATGAGTAACACATAAATGATCATTTAGGACTCTCCTTTCAGGAAGGGATGAAATACAAATAGACCTGCATAATGGTGGAAATATCATTTGTTGCTGTTTATGCTCTTCTTGCCTCCTTTCAGCTAAATAATACGAGCTTGGTTTCTCTTTGGCACAATGCAGACGGTGAGTTGTACTCAGGAACCGCAGCCGATTTCATGGGCCGAGACTTCGCTATCTTCCGAACACTGGGACACCACCACCCCATCAGGACTGAGCAGCACGACTCCCGGTGGCTCAATGGTACGTGCCAGCTCACAGGTGCAGAACACATATTGTCACTGGAAAGCTTTCCTTTCATGGGACATTCAGCTATGTTAGATTCAGTTGGCTATTAAGATAATGGCAATGACCTCACAGTTGTGGGTGTGAGAAACTTGGGAAAAGATAAAAGAAGATTAAAAACTGAGGAAATATTTGTTTTGTGCCAAATGCGAAGTTTCTCAGGAGTCAGCTATGGAAAGAAAGGATCTGGCCTGAAACTGCGGAAGGGAGGCAATGGAAAGAGATAACTGTCTTGAAGGGACACCACAACAAATCTCAGGAACAGTAGTAGCTTTCCTGCATATCTCTGGTCATTGCTTTAAGAGCATCATTCCAAGACTTGGCATTCAAATTTGTGTTTTCCTGCTAAGTACATTGCATTTTGGTGCTTTCAAAATTTCAATCGATGATTACATCTCTCAAAAAAAAACAAAAAACAAACCCAAAACAGCCACTATCTCATTTTATAGGCAAGCAAATGAAGGCCTGCATGTCCCTAATCCAGTGCAGTTTTGTAAGTTTTCTATCTGCCACATGTCCACTGCTGGTGTAACTGCTTGAGAAATAGATGCTTTTTGAAATTTGTTCTCAGTTTTTCTTAGTATTTACATCATTTTGCCATTATATAAAATATGTAAAACATACAAACTCAAATAAGAACAAAGATTTAGATTATAAATAATCCTTATACCTCTACCTATCCATTGTGATGGTTAATTTTTTGCTTTTTGACTTACAATAACCAAATACTTATAATGATCTCTGTATTATTATGAAAGTAGCTTTTATGACTTAATCTACAATTTGTATTTCTGCTTTCCCAATCACATGCAAAAAAAAAAATGTTGCCAGTTCCTAATGTTCCATATTTGGAGTTGTCCTTAGTTCCACACACTTCCTTAAGGAGTGTAAGTTGATAGTGTGTATTCATTTACAGTCTCCATAGGATGCTGGACCATCTTACTCCAAACATGTGCAGCACTTTTTGGGGAAGCACCAAGCCCTTGTTATTGCTTCTATTATCCCTTTGTCTATTTTTAAAAATTGACATCTGCCTTCAGGTCTCAGTAAAACATCAGTGAAATGTTGAGTCTTTAGGACAATTTTTTACCAATACCTTTCTTCAAAGTGACCATTCAGAGCATAAAATAGTCCTCTGACCACCCCAGTTTGCATCTCCTTCCTGTGACAAGGCTTCTAATTGTGCCTTTATTTCTTATGGTTAGGAACAAAGACACAGACCCCATCTCTGTCATGTCATTTTCATGACCCCTTTTTCTTAATTGAATTGCTACTTTCCCTAAATTACTCAATTTACGCATACTTTATTGTTATTATCTCTTTTGTATTTCATTTAACATTTATTGTGTGCAGATATATATGTGTGTGTATGCATATATGATATGTGTGAGTGTGCATATGCCACAGGGTGTGCTCTATGGAGTAGGAAACCTAAAGGAGCTTGTTTCCTTCTTCTGCTATGTGAAAGCTGAAAATCAAACTCAGGCTATCACACTTAGCAGAAAACACAAATGCCCTTTTACCCCAAGTTATCTATCTGCACTCTTTACATTTCCTTTTTGCCAGGATATCTTCCCATGACTTGAAACTTTGTTCATTGTCCTGTGCAAACTGCTTCATTTATGTATGCTCAAGTTCACTGTCTGCCTGTCACTCTTTGTCCTCAAGATTTTCACCACTGATAACTGAGTTCAACTTTATTCCACCAGTCTACTATGTGACCCTCTTCAAAGTCCAGGCCTGATTGCCTGTACCTTTTCACCCAGCTCTGTTTAGAAGCTGCCCTGCAGTATTTTCCACAATACAAGATCACATTCTCAAAGCAATTGCTTCTCTGCATCCCTTACTTCTTGTTCTCTCAAACTTTTTTTCAAATTTGGCTTCAGTTACTGCTTGTTGCTTTCAATACAGAAAATGAAGACAATCCTTGATGGCTGAGTAAACCTCATAGTAATCAATGGGTGTGAGACATGTAGTCAATTTTCCACTGCACTAGCAGCACAGGAAATATAGTGATTCCTGTGTGTTCCGAGAAGTTGCAAGTCTCAATGAGGAACAGAGGAAGCGATGACTTGATGAAAAGGGCATGTTTAAAACTCAAAATGTAAAGAAGGCAAAGGGGGGGGGGTGCTATAGAGTACCACCAATTATTAAAGCTAGCATGGTTTGTGGAGGGGGGTGCAAAATTAGTAGGGAAACCCCCTGTTTAACATCACTATCTGCTTTATTCTCAAATGGAAATATTTGTGTGGGAGAGAAAATGTTTGTTTTTTATTCAGGAACAAAGGGTCTTTGATCTACTAAGAACTCTAGGAGTCGTACAGGCTCTCGCTGTCCATGAGAAACAAAATCTGATTAGAAGATGGAACAACACAAAGGAGAGTATAGTATCCATTTCATTTTTATGGCCTTAAGGAAAGAGTCATCAAGCTGAAGCTGCTTTCATGCTGCACACACACACATGTTGACAGCTGACTCTGAAGAATTTACACTGTGGGAAAAGGCAGTCATTGTCTGCAGCTCTGTACTTTGTCTCTGAAAATGTGTGGTTCATTTGAGAATTCGGTTATCAGTCTCTCAGCACTAAATGTGAGAACTGATTTTTTTTCCAAATTAACAGAAAGGTTCCATCTGACAGGGTGCAGAAACCAGATTGCTCTGAGTATGGGGATTCTGGTCGGTGTGTTCAAGACAGGACCAGAGGACCATGAAACACAGGCTTTGAGAAATCAGATACCATTTCAGAAAAAAATGGGAAATATAACGTTTACATATTTGTGCATAAAATGATTGAGTTTTGAGGCATCAGCATAGACTATAGAATCAACATTATTGCCAGATATAATGTATTGCCATGTATAACATTTTTCAGGGGTCTTTGGGGCTATTTTATTATTTGAGATGCATGTCTTACTGCATTTCCCCAACTAATTCATTTCTTTTAATGAACTAATGAATCAGTTTTAGGTGACTTTTATTTTTTCACATGCTAAAGAAAATCAAAAATACAGTTATCTTGAATTGGATCTTGAATTATCATGATCTTTTTAAGTATAGTCTCACTACTTTACACTTCTGTAAAACACACACACACACACACACACACACACACACACACACACACAGAGTTTTATAATAGTACCAATAAAGTTTTTCATGCAGTTTGAATACGAAAGAATTGGAAGAAATCATACTTTGATATAAAAAATTAAAATATATGAAATCTATGTATGTTTTTACAAATTAGTATATAATAGTCATTCTCATGTTTTAGAACAAACCATAATTTAGTTTCTGGTGATTAAACTAACTTCTCCTTTCAGATATGTGGAGCATGAGTTTGATATGCGCTAAAAGCCACTTTTTTCTCCTGTGCTTTGTAAGCTCTCTCAATATGTTACAGTTTTAAACTTCAATTCCAATTTCAGATTCTAATAATTTGGAAATTAAGGTAATTTTTCTGTGTATATTTGTGGTTAGAAAACAAATTTCTGCTGCTTTTAGTGTTATATTTCCTTAACATTTAGTGGGCTATCTAGTTACTGTACTGTTTAGCCATTCATTAGAATAGATGGATGACTAGCCCAAAATTAAATTTTTTATTATTTGAAGAAGACTGTTTTCCACATTGTTCATGGCCCTGACTAATACTGGAATGCTGTATAATTTCAATGAAAACCCATCAACTTTAAAATGATGTTTCTCTTAAACTCTGACCCTTATCTGTGATGGAAAGATAATACTAAGTACTTCCTCTAATTACTATGATATGAAAAAGGCCAGATAACATGCATAAAAGGCACAGAGATTGTGAACCTTCACAAGTGTTTACATGTTAACTAGCTGTGTCCTTTAGCATAGTGCCCTGGCCAGGAAATGCTGGGGAAATGTGCAGGGCTCCCTCTGTCAATGGTTATATTGGAGTGTGGGGGAAAGGGCAACCTGGTCTGGCTTTGGTACAATGAAACCACACGGATCCTTGCAAGAGCCAAGGCCTGGTGAACACAAACAGACCTAATTACATGCCCGGAGTGTGAGGCTTTCCCATTCATTTCAGGAAGACCTGTTTTCTTTTAGTGGAATTTCCTAAAAGGATCGTGCCTGTGGATAAACTGACCCACTTGTTTTTTTACTTTTTTCTTTTTCTGTAATTGAAATGGTATGCAAGTCATCATTTGACTTCCTCTCAGTCATACCAGGATGGTCTGCCCTCATTGGAATCAGCATAACTTCCTCTGTGGTCATGTACTAGGATATTGCACATTCTCGAAAGATTCAAGTTTCTCCACAGGATGCATTTTTAGAAAAATAAAACCAAGAAACTTGACTTCAAATAAACTACAAGAACACAGATTAATATTGGAACCAGAGACCCAGTCTTGAATCGCTTGTAAAACACTTTTAATAAACAGTTTGAATTCTAACATGGCTGAAGGCATAAACCATGTGAAGTCCAATTAGATTATTCTTTAATAAGTAAAAAAAAAAAAAAAAGGAATAGCTTATTTTATGTAATCTTGGAATTTTTCTCAATTTCATTTTGTGTTGTTTCAGTGGCTTTAGTAAATGAGTGCATTTCTGTGATCTTTGGAGGAAAGTTTCTGCATCATCCTTACTTTATGGTTGAATGAGAAGATGCTGCATTCAGAAGCTGAATTCATTTAGCTAAAAACACAAACAAATAAACAACCTCCCCAAGAAAGAAAAGCAAAGCAGAGACAACCTATAGAGGATGCTTCTCTGGAGAATGTTGCCTTAGTTCTTTGTCTAGGATTGGGGCTATGAGAGTTTCCTCTTTCATGATTGCATACCTGTTGGTTTAGCCCTTGTTTAGGTCTTTTAGGCACTCATGTACTTGAGACCTTATGGATGAAGTTTCTGTGACATGTATAGGAGATAAAATCTAATAGAGACATCCTGTTGCTTTGACACTTAACATCCTTTCAACCTCTCTTGTG